TCTAGAATCCTCCCTCCACACCTGCTCCCAATCAGCTCATTAGTCCTGTCATCGTTCAGTCTACCTGTGCAATTCCTCAGTGCTGGTTCCTCGTCTTTCCCCGTCTTTCCCTGGCTCCTCATGCTTCCTCGTCTCCATGGTTCTGGTTTGTTTTACATTTTTATGTTGGATTCTTGGTTTCCTGCCTCTGTTGCTTGTGAACACTCAATTAAATATTCAAGAACTCACCTCTGCCTCCCTGCCTCTGCATTTGGGTCCTTAAAACCTCCACTCAACCTGACACACACATTGACAATTCTTAACAGAAGTCAGTAGTAGTTTGACAAATAAATGTTGTGGTTTAGAGGGAAAGTCTAAGCTAGTAAGATATGTCAGTGTATGACTGGGAAAGTGTTGGATAAATTAAGACATTTTGACCATTTATTTTAACTCATCTGTTGGATAAAAATAACCCCCTATAGAAGCAACAAATTCACAAATGTCAGGAGGATCCTAAGAAAGGCAATCTTTGTTTTACCTGTGAAAATCAGATCTCGAAGTATGAAGGTGAAAATGATGAAACAACAAAAGTGAGACACAAGAAAATAACCCAAACTGACAAATACATTTTTTTTATGTTTGCAAACAGATATTCTACAGTCTGAAGCTGATTAAATGAAATAACCATAACGTAGAGGTTAATTAACAAGTTAATTAATATAGCTGTTACTGTATGGTTTTTAATATACAAGATGTTCATGATGTATGCGGTTTTCTAAGTCTAAATCAACTCTGCAAACATTTTGTTTATTATTTCCACAATATATAATTTTATTTTCACATGCTTGAACAAACTGGCTTCATTGTGAATAATTTCATGTTGTCTCTTCCAAAAATAATAAGATGTTGGAGCTATTATAAATTATTTAAGAGTAATGACTGAACTGCAGAACTGTTTGTGGTATTTTGATTAGGTTTTTAGATCAATATTTACTCAAACAAACTGATAGACTAAAGGTCTGATCAGATGATGTCTGCTTTGTTTCTCCATCCAGGCCATTAGATCCATGAATTCTTCTTCCCTTTCTGGAAATGCATAAAATTACATTGATCTTTGTCAGCTACTGTTTCCTGGAGGAACTGAAAGTCTTTGCTTCATGAGACAGAGACGTATAAAAAACAAAGTTAAAATAGAAATGTTTATATTTTCTTTAAAAAAGTAATAATTTGCATTCCGTTGTTTACTCCCACAGTTGTTGAATCAAAGTTCCGTCATATTTGCACTTTTAAAATGATATTAATTGCCCACACCTCTCAAGTTCTCCATCCTTTTCAGCTATTTATAAAGTTAAAAATAAATCTTTTAAATGATTTATTTCAGTGGATTTATATGGACTGGTAAACGTGTCGCCTGAGTATTGGATGAAACACACAGATTAATGAAGAGATGTGTATAGCAATGGATGAAAGATGCTGGACAGATTAATAAAAAAAAAGTTGAATCATTTATGGCCAAATGCAAATAAATGGATGAATGGGTAGGCTGATAAGACAATAGAGATCCATTTCCATGTTTTACTTTTTTTTGTTACTTATTGTGCATAAACCCTGTAAAACCAGAGTAGAAAAAAAAGTAAATTTTCCAAAAATCTTAAAAGTGGTGAAGGAGCATCGCCTTCTGCATGAAGCTTAGTTTGAATTTATAGATTATAAAGCCATACCACCTCTTGGGGTCTCTGCAGCTCTTTTGTGGTTTTGTAACTCAGAGCAGGCAGCGAGTGAATGGTTAAAAGCCTTAAACACTGACCGTGGCTCTGATCTCTTTATGGCTGACTCTCTTGCATCTCTGAAAGGTCAATCTTACTCATTTAACCAAGTTTTCGTTGCTTGGTAACCACAAACAGCATATGCTCTACATGGTAAATTTATGATATTCAGATTTCATTGCTGTGAGATTCAGCCAGCTCTACTTGCAGCTCTGCACTTTTTGCTGTTTCAAAAATGCTTACTTACTCCACTTGTCCCCATGCAGAGAAGAGGGGAGTTATAAAGCAACTGGAAAAAAAAAAAGAAGCTATTTCAGGGGCTTTTTAGTTAGTGCTTCTAGATGCCACCCATTAAAACAGGTCCGTGAGAGAAACTGTCTGTCATTTCTGACAGTTCTCGCTGTGAAGCCTTGTGGGGATTAGCTTCAGAGTGCTGAGTAGATCAGAACCTTTTGCATCAAGTCTGCAAGAATTGGGATGAAAAGAAATCCTTCTACAGAATTTCATACCGTTTCAACAGCGCTGTTTGAGTTCTTATGTGACGACCTTAATGCGTGGAAGCGTAGAGAGAAAAGGTCAGCTTATGATTGAGTATAGACTTGCAATAAACAACCCAAGTTTATTTCAAATATGCTGGCTGGACTTCGTGTGCTTTAACAGCTAGAGATATATTAACTTAGGAATTGTCTGGACTTTCTCACATTGGGCCACATGTGTATCATTAATTCTAGCCGCCCAAGCCTTGTGGCTTTTATCTATACAGCAAACATCAGGCAGGTGAAAGCTAAGGGTTAGTTTTTGTTCCATTTAAAACACGAAGCTGTCTCTGAAGAAGGATGTTGGACACCTGAAGTCATATCTTTATACTGAAAAAGTATAATGCAACCATTTTTGACATATATTTAGTCATATTTAGTTACTTTAACAACATGATTTCATGTTAGCAGGGTGGGACAGGAAGAAATCATGTCAAAGTAATAAAATATAATTTAGTAGATGCCAAAAATGGTTGAGTTATTTTTCCTAATTGAATTTGAAAAATGTAATTATCTTCATTCCTTTCTCTTAAGCTTACTTTATCAGATTTGGATTTTTGAGATTTAGATCTCAGTATAAAGACCAAGATAAACACAAGGAGGTCATGAATACATCTGATTAGATTAGACCAGGGTTAGATTATTAAACAATATCCCAACCTTTAAGCATTTCTCAGTACACTGTTCAGTCTATCATCTGAAACTGGAAGGTGTAACGGCAAACCTACCAAGACTTTGGGCTCAGCCAAAAGTTACTGAGCTGAAAAGCAGAACTTTATTCAGCCAAGAGATCCATGGTCACTGTAGGCTAGACTCTAGCCGCTAGACGAAGAGCTCAGATGGGAGTCAATACGCTGTCCGTTCCGAAAATCACATTTTTATCAAATAGACCAAAATAACACTGTTACTGTTTTAGGCCTGTGCAGGTTTTATCGTCTTGTGGTTTTCTTTTTTTTTTTCCTGTACCGCTGTATATGTGGAGTATTTTATCCTATTGATGTTTAGGTTTGGATTGACCCCTGGTCTGGCCTTCAACGTTTACTTGTACAAAGATAATCTGGTGAACTGTAAAGTGCCTGGAGATGACATGTGTTGTGAATTGGCGCTATAGAAATAAACTGAATTGAATTGAAATGAATAATAAGCCGTAGTACAGTTAGACAGCACTGTCTACCCAGCAGCTCCCACTAAGGAGGAGCCATAAGTGGAGACGGCACATTTTTTGTGTAATCAAATACCTTTTCAAATGTCTCATACTGTGTGTTAGGACAACAAATAAAAGTGTGAATCAAACTTAAATCCTGGGCAAACAGTTAACTCTACACACATATGAAATTAATTCAAAACAACTCTCGTTTACAATATAAGTGTATTGACAAATATAATTTAATGCGAAGTTAAACATCATTGTTTTCAACCTAACTGGGACAGTGTGCAGCAGGAGTTTGCCCTGTAACCGGAGCTGTGTTGGTTCAAGCCCAGGCTCTGCTTTCAATGCTTTTTCGTATAACCATTCACCCGCGCCATGTACCGATGGTGTCAGAGGGCCCAGTGATACCTTTCCGTATTGTGCATAAATCTTGCAAGCTTTTTGTGATAAAACATTTTTTTTTACCAAATCATTTTTTGAGGAGGAGGCTGATTCAAACTGAAGCCACAGTCATGTTTTCATAATTTTTAAATTGTGTTTCAATGTTTTGGTTTCTTAAATAAAATCCACAAAAACACATTTTTACATTTGAAGTTACTGTACAATGTAACAAAATGTTAAGAAAAACATCAATGGCTATAAATAATTAACATGAATTCTATTTAGAGCAATGATTAAAAAAAAACAGTAATATTTACAAAAAACTTTCCAAAAATGTCATCTTTTATACTATTTGTAGCAACAATGTTTATGTTTAGAAATCTGCAAAAGTATGGGGATGTATCCTGTTGTATAAAAGGTGTTGAATGATGCAGAAAATATCTAATATAATCAGATACCCTTTGATTAACAAAGCTAAGCAGAGAAAGTTCACCTTTGTTGAACAGTTTTGCAGTTTAGCTTCAGGGTTTTAAAATTCCTGAGCTCTACTCTATTGCTAATCTCATCAACAAGGGCAAACTGCGTCTCCCTCTCTTTAAACATAACAAAGGAAGAATATCTCAGTGTCCCCATCATTTCTGAGAGGAGAAACACCTAGTTTTTCATTTGAAAAATTACTTGGAAAGAACAAAAAAGATAGATTTTTTTTCAATTTAAGCATAATAGAAATTAATGGTACAAACATTCTGGGGAATTAAAAGTTTTCCAGATGAAGTCAATCGTTAGCATTCATTCAGAGGAGTCAGCCAGGTGTGAGGGTTGTTTAAATGTTCAGGGAGGCGTGCCGGTTTCATCTAACACCTGCAGCTTCTATCACTTTTTTTTCTTGTATTGCTTTTGTCTTACAATTTTTACAAATAATGTGAAAAAAGATTGAGGAGAAGAGTTGATTCGAATAAAAAAAATAAATGAAGAGACAAATGTAGAGGTTACTAAAGGACAGATTTGGGTACTCTCCAAGATAAAGGTGTGACATTTCCTTAAAAAAATGTTCTTTGGATTATCGAATCTAGGAACCAGGTTATGATGCTGAATATTAATCTGAATTATCATGACAGTGCAAGGGACATTGTGCAATTAGAGAATGCCACAATTATAACAATTTCCTATTTATTTCTTCTCTTCCAGGTTCCCTTTAATGAGGTAACATGGACAAAGTGGTCATCTGCCTCCTGATTCTGGGAACCGCTATGACAATGGTCCATGCATGTCCCAAATACTGCGTCTGCCAGAACCTCTCAGAGTCTCTGGGGACTTTGTGCCCCTCCAAAGGTCTGCTCTTTGTGCCACCGGACATCGACAGAAGAACTGTAGAGCTCCGGTTGGGTGGCAACTTCATTCTTAAGGTCACCACTCAGGACTTTGCCAACATGACCGGCCTGGTGGATCTCACTTTGTCCCGCAACACTATTAGCAGCATCCAGCCCTTTTCTTTTATTGATCTGGAGACCTTAAGGTCCCTGCACCTTGACAGCAACCGGCTGACTGAACTGGGAGCAGATGACCTAAGAGGACTTATCAATCTGCAGCACCTGATCCTCAACAACAATCAGCTAAATGAAATTTCAGATTCAGCTTTCGATGATTTATTGCTAACATTAGAGGATCTGGATTTGTCTTACAACAACCTGCGCAGTGTGCCTTGGGAGGCCATTCGTAAAATGGTAAACCTGCATCAGATGAGTTTGGACCATAACCTCATCTCCTTTATTGCTGAAGGGACTTTTACAGACCTTGAGAAACTGGCTCGGCTGGACTTGACTTCCAACCGTCTCCAGAAGCTCCCTCCGGACCCCATCTTTGCACGCTCCCAGACCAGTATGTTAATGAGCACTCCTTATGCACCTCAACTCTCTTTGAGCTTCGGCGGAAACCCACTGCACTGTAACTGTGAGGTACTGTGGCTGCGAAGGCTGGACCGTGACGACGATATGGAAACTTGTGCCTCTCCAGCCAGTCTAAAGGGGCGCTACTTCTGGTCTGTTCGGGAGGAGGAATTTGTCTGCGAACCTCCACTGATCACTCAACATACTCATAGGTTGCTAGTGCTGGAGGGCCAAACAGCTAGCTTACGTTGCAAAGCAGTTGGAGATCCAATGCCAACTGTGCACTGGGTTGCTCCAGATGATCGGTTGATCGGCAACTCCTCCAGAGCAACTGTTTATGAAAATGGCACCCTTGATATAGCAGTCACCACATCCACAGACTATGGCATTTTCACTTGCATTGCTGCTAACGCTGCTGGGGAGTCTACAGCCTCTATCGAGCTATCAATCATTCAACTACCCCACATAACTAACAGTACCAATCGTACAACACTGCCAAAATCAGGACTTTCAGACATCACAAGCTCTACTAAAATAAGCAAAGGCGAACCAAAGCCTCTTCCAGAAAAGGTTGTGTCCGTATCTGAAGTGACCGCCGCGTCAGCTTTGGTGAAGTGGACTGTAAGCAAATCAACTCCAAAGGTCAAAATGTTTCAACTGCAGTACAACTGTTCCGACGATGAAGTCCTCATTTACAGGTAAGATTGACAAATTGCTGGCATGTATTTCTAAGTCTAGGATGAGTTTTGACTCATCCAAGAGGCTAGTTAAGCCACAGATTGATTTATTTTGCCTCAGAATGTTGTGATCAGTTCAGGTTTCTGAGTTGATTGTTATTTGTTTGCTGTAAGCTCTTGAGACAATTATTTCTTCTGAAGCATTTCCCCAAGATCAACATTCATCTTTCTTAATCCTTCTTTTGGTTTTCTTTTTTTCACCATAAACCAGACAACGTGTAGTGATGCAGCTTTCACAGTCTGAGAAATCCAAAGGGAAATCCCTGCCCTGAACCATTAATTAGAAACCCAGGAAGAAAAGGGAATATAGAGCTCATTCTAATGTATTCCTTTTAAGCTTCTGAACTCCATACAAGCATTGGCCTTGACGACAGTAGCAGAAGATATTTGGGGCTCTGTGAAATCAATGTCCTGGTTTAAATGAGATCTTGAGTGGATTCAGACCGATAATTGTCTGGAAATCAATAGAGGAAAAAAGCAACATTTATTTACATTAATGTTCAACTGAAAATTGAGGGTGCATAAAAAGTGGCAAAATTGCCTTGCCTAGATTTAGTGTCCCTTGAGGTACCAGGTTTATAGATCTTTCCAGACTATTACTATGTTGTAAGGCAGCCTGAGTCTCTCTTTCAGAGCCCCAAAACTAACAACACATTTCCTAAATTTCTTCATTGTTTTTATTTTCATTATTATCTGCAGAGAACTGGTTTTTAAGCTAGAAATCCCATCATTAGCAAAAACAGCAATGAAGAGGGATCTTACTTTACTCAAGCGATGTTGATGCATCTCACATCCCTGCAAATTCAATAATAAGCTTTTTTATCTGATTTTCTTCCCTTTCATGCACATTCTGTGCCAACAGTCTTCTTTTTCTGCTTGGCGACACAATATTAGATGAGTCATCTGCATTTGCATTCATAAGGAACTTGACAAAGCTAAACCAATTCCCTGAAAGCATTTATTCTTTTAAATATCATCTCTAATGTTTCTTTTTTTTATTACTACAAAATCACATGAATTATTTTGCTATATGTTTAAAAGCTACTCCATTATTTATTTGTTGATAAAGAAAGCAAAACGATATTATTTATCATTTTTCATTGGTAAATAGAGTTTGAGAATCTAATGTTTTCATTAGACTCAAAGGAACGTGGTAAAATGCTGCTACAGTAACTAAGGACATTAAGTCTAATGTCACATCAGTTTGTTGGGTCTAGAATTTAATACATAAGGAGGATTTATCAGTTTCAAAACAAGACAAATGAAACACTCACACTGAAATGAGCTTATGCACACAAAAAAAAGGAACAAAAAACAATTCAAAGTAGCAAAATACCTAAATTAAAAAATGGTCTCTAATTTGAAATCAGGTAATACTTATATTGTTGGCAAATTTTCACTTTTAGCTCTTTTCTTTTTTCACTGAGGCATTTAAAGGGTTAAAAGCAAAAATATCTGCATGTGGATGCAGATTAATCATGTTGAGGTCGCCAAACTTGCAGCAGACATGGGTAGTTACTAGTTACATTTACTTGGGTAACTTAAAAAAAAAAAAAACATTTAGTAATAGCTGTACTTCAATGTAGTTGCTACTTTTACTTAAAGGTACACTATGCAACCGGTGTTGATTTTCCAGCGAGGCTCCCCCCAGAGGGCGAAAGTAAAAGTGCACTGTCGTAAATATGCACAGCTGTTCTCCTGGTTTCTCCGTCAAGCCAGGCGCGGTTGTTTTGAGCTTAGCAGACAGGCGAACGCAACGAATGACTAATGCTGCGTTCACACCGCAGCTGGCGCGACAGAAGCAGTGAGTTTACATGCAAAGTCAATGGTTGACGCGCGTCAAGGCGCAGCAAAAGGTCCCGCGGCGCGTTCTGAGCAGCTGAAGCAGTGCTTCGGACGCAGGGAGAGAGACACAGCGCTGATGATCAGAGGCTATGATCTCTCCTCTTAAACAGTTTATTGACGCCTAAATTAACTTAAAATGCAGAAATCTGCCGGCAGAATATGCAGTTTGGATTATTTAGATGAAAAACACCTACCAGCTGCCGCGGTGAACCGCGAGGAGGCGACCCGGCCAGAGGCTGCTGATGAAGGGATTCCTACTGTCAGCGCACCGCTGGTATGTGGGGGTCTGAGCGGCTCCGACAGAAAAAATATTGAAGGCAGGATAATAATCTGAATGAACTGACTGCACTGATTACGTTTTCAGGTGTATTTTCTCATTTAAACACATATTAAAACTACTTTATTCCCACTGATCACAGCAAATATAGCTGCAAGGCAGAGAAAGGATAGTGAAGCTCCGCCCAACGCGCGTCAGACACACTTTTGCACCGCGCAGCCAGAGCAGCAAAGCTGCTTCAGCCGCGCGTCAGAACTAACTGGTACAAGCAGCAAAAATGAAGCTTCAGACGCGATTTTGCTGCGCCCGATGTGAACGTAGCATAACTGCACAAAGATCGCCACTGTGCTAGCAACGAGCATGCTTTTAACTGGGGGGTGTAGCAGTTCTCGCCGTAAAGCAAGACTGACTCTCGTGAGACTTCTGAGCCTGTGGGTGCGGGTCGGTGCTCCTGCAATTGCAAGTGCGGTATTTCCCCCACAGACCACCAGGGCGGCCGAGAATACCTTTGTTCAACCTGAAATGACTCATTTAATCATCCAAAACGTTATGGAACACATTAATTAACTGAAAAATGTTGCATAGTGTGCCTTTAACTTTTACTGTCGTGAGAGTATCAATACTCTGACTACAGCTAATTCTTTGAGTACTCAATGCCCATCTGCAAGGCAGTTAGTTTATATAATGGATAACAGTTGTATTGAGGCCTTAAGAAAGGTGCAACATGCTGATGTGTTAAACCATGAAAGAGCATCATTTCATCTCTGGATTATTGTCTTTATGGAAACTAAAAGAGTAGTTTTCTTTATTTTCCACTTTAATTAATTATGCAAGATTGTTTGGTCAGAAATTCACATCCAAGCAATAGATATTCAGCCACATCTGATGTAATAAAGTTGAAAAAAAAATGCATTACGGTCAGTTAGTCTCTGCATATAAATAGCTACTCATGAATGTTTTGATCTCTTGTGAAAAGACAATTGCCAAGTTTTATCCTCTTATTTCTTGTTTAGGATGATTCCTCGGACTCACCGGGCCTTTGTTGTCACTAATTTGATGCCTGGAATGCAGTACGACCTGTGCGTCCTGGCCATCTGGGACGACACAGCAACCACTCTCACTGCTACCAACATTGTTGGATGTGTCCAGTTCATCACTACGGACGATTACCCGCAGTGCCAATCTCTGCATAGTGGCTTTATGGGGGGCACCATGATTCTGGTCATCGGGGGCATTATTGTTTCCATTTTGCTGGTCTTCATCATCATTCTAATGGTTCGTTATAAGGTCACCAGTGGAATTCAAACCAGTAAATTACCCACTGTGAGTAACACATACTCCCAGACTAATGGGGGTGTGAACAGGTTCAATGGAGCCCCACCGCAGGTCAAGTCCACAGTTGTGGTCATGCGTGAGGAAATGCTGGAGTTCAAGTGTGGATCTCTTCAGAGCAGCCTTTCTTCATCCTCATCCTCCTCTAACTCGTTGGACAGCCAAACAGGAAGAGAAGCAGCTGACCGCTATAACGTTCAGAGCAATGAATTCACCACCCTGCCAAGCAGCAAGTTTAGACAACACGTGCATGGCACCAAGGCACGGCAAAGCCTCGACCACCTTTTAGGAGCCTTTACCTCACTAGAGCTGCGAGGAGCAGCAAAGGAGAACCCGGGTGCTTCTGCCTCGTGCTCCTCTGCTGCTCCCAATGCCATGACCACAGTGGCTGTGGCACCACCATCTGATAAAGAACCCCTGCTTGGGAGGGCGGAGTCCACAACAATGCTGGGACGCCTACTTGGGTATCCCCACGAGGCAAAACCCAAGAGGAGTCACTCATTTGACATGGGGCATGTTGGAGCTGCACAGTGCCGCAGCAACCAGCCACGGAGGATCAGCAACATCTGGACTAAACGCAGCCTGTCTGTTAACGGCATGCTTCTGCAGTTTGAAGACAGTGAGGAGGAGAAGCCTTCTTTTGAGAGCTCTGAATGGGTAATGGAGAGCACAGTCTGACTCTTTGACCAAATAATAGATCTATATTAAAAACTTAATAAACATGAACACAGAGGGATGTTCTCTATGAAGTGCATCCATGTGAATATTGTTTAAACGATTATGTGAAAAAAAACAAAAGATACATAAGATCAGAACTCTCAATATTTGAAATATGTTTGAATCGACTGGAGAAATGATTTTTATGGACAGAGAGATATTTGAACTGGATTTTCGTCTCTAAAGGAACTATTCAAAGATTTGCCTCACCTGTGATAACCTAGATCACATGTTGCAGATTGAACATGGAAATACTCCAGCTTTATGAAGAAGGGGACCACAGGAGTTAGTATAGTAGAAGATTAATACAAAATCATTTTTATTTTCTTCTGGTTTATTTTTTTTTACCATTCTTACTATTTATTTTTTCAGGTGATTCATCAGAAGACAGACTCACCTTGGAACATTAAAAACAGGTTTACACAGGATGTACCAACTCTCATGTTGCCATTTTATAAACTTTTCTTGACAGAAATTCCTTAAGTTATGCATAAGGTGAGTGTGGGAAAATAACTTGGCGCCAACATAAACCACAAGCTTTGCTATCCAATTTTTAAAGGGGTTGATTCATTATCTCAAAGGAGGTACCCATCAATCACAGAAAATATTGTCTTGGAAAACAGGTAGGAACTGACTTTGAGGAGTCAAGCTAACAGCTAATCAGAGCAGGAACCACAGCAAACAATCGGCGTTGAGTCAAGAACAGCTCAGTCAAACATTTTCCTGCTTTTAATCTAGAAGTCCTAAAGGGTCTCAACCAAAGTTTGGTGGAGGAAAGCTTAGGTTTTTTTTAGCAGATGGACAGTTTGTTCAGAGGTTACTGGCCCTAAGAAGAAGAAAGTTGTCTTACTTTGAGTAAGTTCATCATCCATATTTTCCTTCACAAAGCAGCAACAACAATGAGCACAAAGAGATCAGTGAGATCATCAGCATATGCAAAAGTAAGTGTTCAAAATCTAAAACTATGAGTGCTTACATGGTAATGAAGGGTCTGGGTCAACTTTTGGAATAGCTGTTAGCTTGTTTTCCCAATTCTTGTTTTCTCAGTCTGTAAAGTACCCAGTTGGTCTCCAAGGAGACAATTAAAGCATTTGTCCAGCTGAGGTTGAAATCCAGCTGTGCAAGTAATTTGATTATTGGGTGCCTGTTTGCAGGAGTCCCTGCAGACCGATGGCTCATTGATGTTAACGTTGTTTGCTTCAGAGTGCGGTTTCAGATACTATCAACACAAATTACTGTAGCCAAAAGCAAATGGTGTTTGAAATTCATCAAGCCCTTTTAATCATTTGCCCGAAGCAGCAAACAGCATGATATATCACCGGACTCTGAATCTCTTGAAGCAACACAAACAAGAAAGCATGATAATTACTCTTGCAGCCAGGTTAAATGAAAGAATTTGTCATTTATTGGCTGCATAAAGGTCACTATGCTGCTCATGAAAAGATTTTATTTGAACAAAAAAGGAGAGATGACTTTCAAGGAGGCAATAAGCTGCAAAGTTTTGAAATTTGTTTTATCACATTGCATGAAACAGAACCTATTTTGATCAATGTGTTAACTGACTCCATTCACCTGAGAGCTGTATATTGCAGCAAGGTACTTAAATTTGTCCCCTTTCAGATCACTGCCTAAATATAGCTGCAACATCTCTTCATTTCTATGCCTTTCTCAGTATTCTGTGGGACTCTACTACATTTCAAAATGTTGGGTGATCATCATTTCCTTTTCCTCTTACAGTAACTGTACTATTCTGTATATTGGTATATTTTTTGTACAATAACCGGGTGAGAATGTAAGGGGTGGGTTGGGGATTGTGCAGTAGTACTTTTATTTTCATGTGAAGCAAACAGTGAGAAGGTGCTTTAATGTGGTGTTCCAACAAAAGATGGTTGTTAGTTGGCTTTCTGAAATGGGATCTTACATGATGTTACAACTGGAGTGGAGGACTAGAAAATTCTGAAGTCTTGAATCAATCAAACATCTCTGGTTTATATTGTGTAGGTAAGCCTGATTTGTTACCCTTTTACAAAGCAGGTACAATTGACTCCCATAACTCTAATGTTAAATACTCGCTTGAATTGTTATTATTTTTTTAATCCAGCTAAGTCTGACTTCCAATTCGTACATTTCTTCTGCCGGCCCAAACACACCACATTAGCATATCAGTCTTATACCAAATTGACAATGATCTGTTTACTTATTTGAAGTGAATGCATGTTACTGCATGTAACATCATGTATCCTCCCTCTCCACTCTGCTAACACTATAAATTAAATGTGTACTTGACTCAACATAGACATGATTCTCACCTGAACTTCTAGCAGAAAAATTCAAATAAACTGTTTGTGTGAAAACATTTTGCTACAAAATCATATAAAATATTGATAAATTCCTATGAAGCAAACTGGCTTGACTGTGTTTTCTTTTTTGTAACTATTTTACAGGAAATATTTGACTGAAATCAGTGTGTTTGAGAGTTGCCTTCCCATAAAGCACTGAGAGACCTGCGGTACTATGTGTCCTTCCCTTCACCCTGCAGATGAGTGAGGGGGTTTCCTCCTGTGATGAAGCCAGTCGGTGCTGACTCACCTCAACACTGTCCTTATTACATATCACCTGTACATGCAGCTCCTGGACAGAGCCCATAATAAGGCCTTAATTCATATAATCTGTTAGCAGAGGTGCTTACGGCAGCACAGAGTAAATATAATCTCTACAACGGGCAGGCACTGCATGACGAAGGTGCAGGATAAACACGACCGCTGGATGTGGAACTCAGCATGGGTTCTTATCAACAGGCTTTCAGTTCTAAAATGTTGGGTTATAAAATACAAATGAAGGTTTTAAGATGAAAAGTCAGGTTTAAAAGATTAAATGTTTCCTTTTGAGAGTTAGAGAAGTGAAAAAAACTAAAACAGAAGCTTGAAAAATCTGAAAAATTCTTTGTTCTGCACATTGATCCTCTTTTTTATGTTGATATTGAGTTTATAGCAATTTACTAAATCTGTCATAATTTATAACGACAATAACTCTTGAAAATAGGGCTGCAACTAACGATTATTTGAATCGGCAGATTATTTCTTCGATTAATCGATGAATCGGACAAAAAATATTTTTTATATTAACCTCTTTATTCCGTAATAAACATTTTAGACAGAACAAACAAGCACACAAGTACAGGTTGCTCATTAACTGTACTGGTCCAATATGAAAAATAAATGTTTGTGTTAAAACTACGCAAACTTACATGAGAAATGTAGCTGTACATCCACAAAATATAGGCTACTTTGTTTCATAAAGCGCAAAAAAAGACATTTTTGTTTTTAAAAGCCCCTAAGGGGTTCAAACAATAGGCCCCCCCATTTCAACAAATTAGTTTTTTTAGACTAGAAGAGTTCTGCCTTTTAAGACAGGAAAGTATAGCAGTTAAAGTTGCTACTTGAGAAAATACTGAACCATAGAGATAAAAATATAAATTGTATTTGGAATAAAAATGAGAGAACTAGGGGTGCTAAAAAACACATCCTCCAAAGACAGATATTTACATGGGAATGTGGCAGATAATTAATTGACATATTACTGATCTTGCTGGATTTTATTCTGCTTTACTTCCATAAATTGCAGGATCTTCTTTACTTTATCTTTGCCAGAAGATTTAAACTTTAAAAGCCTTGCCCTCATAATTTGCAAGTTAATTTATTTATAAAGTAAATATAAACGCTGCTTAAGCTAATTCAAATGAAATTAAAAGTAAAATAAGTAGCCAACCTTATCACTGTCTGTAACCTACTAACACGGTAAGGAAAGCATCAGATGAGCTACCTGAGAAACTAACGTAACGTTTCCCCACTTTAAAACCAAACAAACATGGTTACTCATCCTGCTGATCAGCTCTCTTCACTGCCATCGAAGGCTCCAACGTGTTTCCTTATCATGTGCTGCGTCATAACAGTGGTGCTTCTGTGCCATGTTCATTTGTTTTTAAAAAAGTTGCATGTTACGACTTTTTTCTCTTTACAAAGCGCAGGCTGTCTGCGAATTGAGACGCAGCTTGCGTTTGCGGTATCGGTCATTAGAACAGTTGACGTTACTGCCTTTTGAAAACAGCCTTTGCTCACCTGCAGCGCTGGCTCACTCTGCCGTATTTTTCTAAGGGGATGTGATGACAACAGCGGCGGATGACGCATTAATAGCGCGACACAACTAATCGATGATGAAATCCGTTGCCAACGCTTTTAAAAGTCGATTTTTATCGATTTTATCGATTCGTTGTTGCAGCCCTACTTGAGAATTAAAGCTGTAGCAGTTCACACAGGATGTCATCTGTTTTGTAAAAAAGAACATCTGGATACAGAAAAACAGGTTATTTTTTCTTTAAAACACGCTGTGGCACAAGTTAAGACGTTATAATTGCTGTTACCCTTCATTAAAACATTAATTTAAACCTCCCTTTGTACTAAGCATAATACTGAACTGAGATCCAAAAGGTAACATTAGTGTTAAAGATATAGTAAGATTCTTCAATTTGTCTGGAGTTTTCCACATCACATTGCATCCATTTTAAAATAGTCCTCCATATGTAACAGTTTTAGAAAGAACTATTTTACTTAATTATTTTTATTTTATCATATTAGCATACAGCATTAGCAGTGGAATATGTCAGTGGAGGCAGTGGATGCTCAAACATCCATTGGATGAATTTACAGGGATATGTGACAGTTTAATCATTTTCTTATAACTTATTGCTGAGACTATTGTGCTTTTATAAAAAAAAATATATTTTAGTTTGAATTTTCCTTTTAAAAATGAAGTATAAAATATGTTAAAGGATATAAAAGGTATAAAGGCTGTCTTTGATAAGTTGGCATGATTTTTTGATTATTTGAGGAAATCGGGTGGAAAGAAGACATGCAGCCAACAGTGTGTCTTTTTTATTTGGATTTTGCGTGTAAAAGTTGCTTTGGGCGGGTGGAGATAATTTGGGCCGGTTCCGAGTCAGATCGGCGGTTTTTGAGTTAACCTATTAAAACCCATGTCCACCAATCATTCATCATTACTGGTTCATAGCAAAGCCTCTCTGACCTTTCTTCCTCACTGATTGGCTAATGGCATCTGCCAGGGTGTTTACAACAGAGAACTAGTGTAGTGGCACAAATAATGATGCTAGTTTGTGCAGCAGGTGGATCTGGTGTGATAAACCAATACAAAATACAATCTGTGTTACAGAAAATAATTAAATTATGGATAGCGACAAACTAAAAATGATGAAACACTTGAAAGATGTTAAGGACCAAGCCAAAACAAAGAAGCACAGAATGCGGTGCATTCCCTCTGTCAAGTATTACATGGTGGCATCAGTGAGTAATGCTAGCAGGGAGCTTCGTGACGACCAGAAACGCTGTTAACTCCGTATTGCATCATACATAGCTTTCCACACTTCCATTAATGCAGTGAAAGACTGTCTAACATTCTGCAGGATGAGATTGGAGCCTTTCAGATGGGGCTGCTCAGTGGAAGGTTGCGGGTTCGATTCCTGGCCCGGGGTCTTTCTGCATGGAGTTTGCATGTTGTACTTGAGCATATGTGAGTTCTCTCAGGATACTTTGGCTTTTTCCCACATTACAAAAACATGACTATTAGATTAATTACCTTCTCTAAATTCTCCTTAGTGTTGCCCTGCGATGGACTGACAACCTGTCCAGGGTGGACCCGCCTCTCGCCCTTAGAAAGCTGGAGATAGGCACCAGCACCCCTCATGACCCCGCTTGGGATAAAGCGTGTCAGAAAATGGATGGATGAAGTGTGTTCATGTTCACACAGTAAATATAATATTATATTAATTGGGTGGTTTTTTGTGTGATGTTGCTGTTTTTAAAGGATGTTTGGGCTTGAAAACCTCGACTCTATCTGGCAACACTGGCAGCCAAGACCTTAGAGGGTAGAGACTCAAAGCCGTGGCTGCAGTGTTTAGGACTGAGGCTTCAATGCATTGGTCGTATGATCTACTTCTGCCCCCATGCAACATCCAAACCTTTATTTAAAAAGGATTTTTTTCGGAGGACTTTTGTGTTTTTTACAATAGGCAGGCCCTGTTAGCCTTGCTGTGTTCTACAATAAAAAAGGAAAACATCCTAGAGAATAACATGTATTATATTATCTTTAACCTGGTCTCATGCTTTTAATGATAAACATGAAATTAGTATAATGTTCTGCCTTCAGTGTAAATTAAAACTCAACATTCAAAGTTGGCAACAGTAAACAGAGACCGTCAATTAAAGAACATTGAAGAAACAGGCAGTTGCAACAATTTATTGAACAATATTTTGACTCATTTCTGTAGATGAGGAGGAGCACTAATTTAAATCAGGTGTGCTGGAACAGAAAGGTATTTAAAAACATGCAGGGTAGGGGTCCCTGAGGAACAGGGCTGGGAATCACTGCCACAGTCTGTCATTTCAAGTTCTGTTAATAAAACTTTAATTTCTTATCACAGTTAATGACAGTGATGGCAGCACTTTTGAGTGAACTGCTTCACTGAATCAGCTCATTTAAAGGATTTGTTCAAAAGATTCATACATCAAATCATTCTATTAATAAAAATTACTGTTTTATTTTAATGCTTCAGTTGGCATAAGCATGGCTTTGGTGACATCTGATGTGTTATTTAACTGCATTGTCTGCATCTTTACATCTATAATATGCAATAAGCATGACTTTAGTTACAGAGCCTGATCTTCGGAGGATTAAACTGTCTTAAAAGAGGCGTAAATGTGTTTGTAAGGGCAAAGTAGATCTTCAAAGAAGGTAGAACGTTATTTGTGTTTGCCAATCAGCAGAGTGTACAAAGCATTTTTGTGTCTGTGCTTTCATAGATATGCAAATTAAATTCTACTGACTAAATTGCACAAATTCAGGGGTGGATGATATGCAAATGTCAACATTTACCACA